CCAATGGGATACAGCTGGTTTGTTGAAGGAATAGGATTTTAACAATGCCTCATGAGTACTTCTTTAGGCATAAACATGCATGCATTGGATCTATTTTTTTATGCCATTTTATTGAAATGTTTGTGCATCAGAATACAGTGGTCCCTCAATTATTGTCCATAATCCGTTCCTGGAAGTGGGACTACTATCGAAATAGACGATTTTCGAATCAATTTTCCCGATAAATAATGTAAATACTACAATTAATCCGTTCCTGACACCCAGAAGTATTAAAGCAAAAAATTTTTTTACATGAAATATAGATGTAATACATAAACAATACAATGGCACATGATGAATGAAACATTAACAGAATAACACTTACCTTTATTGGCGATTCTTCTTAGTGTATGGAAGACTGGAGGAGGAGAGAGATTGGATTATTTACTGTTTGGAAGGGAAATCCCCTTCCATCAACACCTCAGGTACCAAGTGCTTTTCTGGGGTTACTCCTCTTCTCTGTTTCTTATTGCCACTAGGACCAGCTTGAGAGTCACTGGAGTCCTGTCTCGCAAAAAAACTGTCCAGAGAGCTCTGTTTCTGGCGTCTCTTTAAAACTTCCCTAAAATGGGCCAAGACTCTGTCACTGTACAAGTTGCCGATATGACTTGCAACATCCTTCTCAGGGTGATGTTTCTCCATAAATCTTTCCATCCTACCCCACATTTCAAAAATCTCCTTAATTTCTGAAGAAGGCACCTTCTTCCATCTCTCTTCCTCCTCCTCTGCAGCAAGATTCTGAGCTGCGATCTGTTGCTCTTCCTGCAGAAGCTCTTGCAGCTCCTCAGTGGTTAGCTCTTTGTTGTGGTCCTCCACCAACTCTTCCACATCCTCCAAACTCACATCCAACTTCATGGAACTCCCCAGTGCCACAATAGAGTTCACAACTGATATAGGCTCATCAGGGGCTGCCTCAAACCCTTCAAAATCCCTCTTATGGTCACAGTCTGGCCACAATTTTCTCCAAACAGAGTTCAAAGTCCTGGTAGTCACTCCCTCCCATGCCTTACCTATAAGGCTTATGCAATGGAGAATACTGAAGTATTCTTTCCAAAAATCTCGTAGGGTCAAGCGAGTGTCTGAGGTCACATTAAAGCACCTTTCAGACATTGCTTTGGTGTAGAGTTTTTTAAAGTTTGAAATGACTTCCTGGTCCATGGGCTGGAGGAGAGGAGTGGTATTCGGGGGCAAGAACTTTACTGTCATGAACCCAAACTCCTTCAGAATTAGGTCATCCAAGTTTGGAGGATGAGCAGGTGCATTGTCCATTACTAGGAGGCACTTGAGATCCAATTTCTTTTCCAGGAGGTAATTCTTCACACTAGGGCCAAACACTTCATTGAACCACTCGATGAAAATGTTCCTTGTAACCCATGCCTTATTATTAGATCTCCAAAACACACATAATTTACTTTTCATAACATTGTTTTTCTTGAACACACTGGGATTTTCAGAATGGTACACTAGTAACAGCTTCACTTTGAAATCCCCACTAGCATTAGCACAGAACATGAGCGGCAGCCTGTCTTTCATAGGCTTGTGTCCTGGCAGTGCCTTTTCTTCCCGAGTAATGTAGGTCCTCTTTGGTATTTTCTTCCAAAAGAGGCCTGTTTTGCCACAATTGAACACTTGTTCAGGTTTCAGTCCTTCAGCCTTTATGTACTCCTTGAATTCCTGCACATATTTTTCAGCTGCTTTTTTGTCAGAACTGGCAGCCTCACCATGCTTTATCACACTGTGTATGCCAGTATGCTTCTTAAAACTCTCAAACCAGCCTTTGCTGGCCTTAAATTCACTCACATCACCACTAGTTGCAGGCAATTTCTTTACCAAATCGTCATGCAACTGCCTAGCCTTTTCACTAATAAGTGACTGCATAAGACTATCTCCTGCTAATTGTTTCTCGTTTTTCCACACCAATAATAACTTCTCAACATCTTCGAGTACTGGTGATCTCATTTTTGTCAGCATATTTACCCCCTTTGCAACAACAGCTTCCTTGATTTCCTTTTTCTTGGCTATGATGGAAGATATGGTTGTACGGGATTTGTTATACATCCTGGCCAGTTCGCCCACATGTACGCCACTTTCATATTGTTCAATGATGTTTTTCTTAAATTCATTCGTATTTCTCACCTTCTTTACCAAAGGCTTGGCACTAGGAGCTTTCTTTGGAGCCATGGTAGCTTATTTAGCACTTGCAAGCACTAAAATCAATGGAATACAGTGGACCCCCGACATTCGATGGCATCGACATTCGATAAATCCGACATTCGATGCATTTTAACGCAAAAATTTCGCCTCGGCATTCGATGGAAAACCCGACATTCGATGCGATTCATCTTGTTTCATACGAGACGTGTCCACATGTGGCCTGAACTGCACAGTGTGTGCCAGTGTTTACAAGCCAGCCAGTGTGCACGCATCTAAGGATACATTCGGTACATTCCATATTATCACTTTTTTTGGTGCTTGTTTCTGCAAAATAAGTAACCATGGGCCCCAAGAAAGCTTCTAGTGCCAAGCCTTCGAGAAAAAAGGCGCTAATGACTATTGAAATATTAAAGAGTGCATGTGTCGGAGCTGGCCAGGTTGTATAGTAAAGCCCAATCAACCATCTCTACTATAGTGAGCAGGAAAACGGCAATCAAGGAAGCTGTTCTTGCAAAAGGTGCAACTTTTTTTTTTAAACAGAGATCGCTAGTGTTAGAAGATGTTGAGAAACTGTTACTGGTGTGGATAAATGAAAAACAGATAGCAAGAGATAGCATCTCTCAAGCGATCATTTGTGAAAAGGCTAGGCAGTTGCATGATGATTTGGTAAAGAAATTGCCTGCAACTAGTGCTGATGTGAGTGACTTTAAGGCCAGCAAAGGTTGGTTTGAAAGATTTAAGAATCGTAGTGGCATACATAGTGTGATAAAGCATGGTGAGGCTGCCAGTTCAGACCACATAGCGGCTGAAAAATATGTGCATGAATTCAAGGAGTACATAGAGGCTGAAGGATTCAAACCTGAACAAGTGATTAACTGTGATGAAACAGGCCTGTTTTGGAAGAAATTGCCAAGCAGGACCTACATTACTCAGGAGGAAAAGGCACTTCCAGGACATAAGCCTATGAAAGACAGGTTTACTCTGTTAATGTGTGCCAATGCTAGTGGTGATTGCAAAGTGAAGCCTTTATTGGTGTATCATTCTGAAACTCCCAGAGTGTTCAGGCAAAAGAATGTCCTGAAGGCTAATTTGTGTGTGCTGTGGAGGGCAAACAGTAAAGCATGGGTCACTAGGGACTTTTTCTATGACTGGTTGCACCATGCATTTGCCCCCACTGTGAAAAATTACCTAACTGAAAAGAAATTAGACCTTAAGTGTCTCCTGGTATTAGACAATGCCCCTGGTCATCCTACAGACGTGGCAGAGCGACTTTCTGCTGACATGAGCTTCATTAAGGTCAAGTTTTTGCCTCCCAGTACCACTCCTCTCCTGCAGCCCATGGACCAGCAGGTCATTTCCAACTTCAAGAAACTGTACACAAAAGCTATGTTTCAAAAGTGCTTTGTAGTGACCACAGAAACTCAACTGACTCTAAAAGAGTTTTGGAAGGATCACTTTAATATCCTCAGTTGTATAAACCTTATAGGTAAGGCTTGGGAGGAAGTGACTAAGAGGACCTTGAACTCTGCTTGGAAAAACTGTGGCCAGAATGTGTAGACAAAAGGGATTTTTGAGGCTAACCCTGAGAAGCGTATACCAGTTGAGAAATCCATTGTGGCATTGGGGAAGTCCTTGGGGTTGGAGGTTAGTGGGGAGGATATGGAAGAGTTGGTGGAGGAGGACAATGACAAACTAACCACTGATGAGCTGCTAGATCATCTTCAACAGCAAGAGGCCAGACCTGAGGAAACTGTTTCAGAGGAGGGGAGAGAGAAATTGAAAAAGTTGCCTACTTCAAAGATTAAGGAAATGTGTGCAAAGTGGCTTGAAGTACAAACCTTTTTTGATGAAAATAATCCTGACACAGCTACTGCAAGCCATGTTGGTAACCTGTACACTGACAATGTTGTGAACCACTTTAGGAAAGTCATAAAGGAGCGAGAGGTACAGGCCTCTATGGACAGATATGTTGTGCGACAGAAGTCCAGTGACACTCAAGCTGGTCCTAGTGGCATTAAAAGAAGAAGGGAAGTAACCCCAGAAAAGGACTTGCTACCTCAAGTCCTAATGGAAGGGGATTCCCCTTCTAAACAGTAACAACCTTGACACTCTCCTCTCCTCCCATCCCATCAATCATCACCAGATCTTCATTAAAGGTAAGTGTCAATTATTCTATTGTTATTAATGTATTGTTATTGCTGTTATTGTAGTTATTTTATTGCATTAAACTTAATATTTCATGTGGTAAAATTTTTTTTTTCATACTTTTGGGTGTCTTGCACGGATTAATTGATTTCCATTATTTCTTATGGGGAAAATTAATTCGACTATCGATATTTTTGACATTCGATAGCACTCAGGAACGGATTAGTATCGAATGTCGAGGATCCACTGTATTATGAAATATTTTGTATGAACACGTGAGGGGACCGTCGCTCACTGGTAAACAATGGCACATTGGCTGGGAAGGGAGGCCGAGGTGGCTCAGAGTGTGAGTACGCATCCAGGACGAAAGACGATTAGCGAGTTAACGAACCATTTGCGAGCCAGTGTTTAGACGAAATAACGGGACTACTGTATTTCTGAAAAGGACGACTTTCAGGCTGGACGATTATTGAGGGACCACTGTACGTGTAATGTGGAAGAAAACAGAAAGGGCTTTGTTACTGGCCTTTCATGTATTAATGCAGTTTTGCATTTTGTTATAATTTTGTTCGAGAAATTTTACATGTGCTTCCAGATTCTCATTTTGTGAGAAACATTATAACTATTGTAAATGAACCAACATCTTATTTTTACTTTGACAGTCTTTGGTAAGAAGTGAGCATAACCAGCAACTGATGTGTGAAGTTGGCTTGGCTGGAGACCTTCTGTCCAGATGCTCCCAGGCACTGGTCAATGAGAAACACCCACTACATCCACCACTGCAATATATTTTTGAGAGACTTGCTGCTCAGGCCATTCATCCGAGAGATCTCAGGTATGATTACTCAACTTTGAATTCTGAGAGTTACAGAATATTTTGTTTCTTCTACCTACCACATATTAATTTTGCCTATACGTAGTAATCAAAGTATAGAACAGAACATTAGCAGGCTGTAATTTTTACTGTCATTTAGATTTACTTTAAGCTGATACATAAGAATAGTCTAGCAGAGTTGTTACTATGTGCGATGGTAATGGAACAGGTCACTCAAGATGAGGGTACACATGAACCAGACCCTGATTGTCCAACGAGTTTCATTACTCACCTGAAAAATGGCACATTGTTTGATTTTTTATTATTTATTTTAGCTTCTTATATTTTGCTTTATTAACCCTCTAACTGTCCAAACGTAGATCTACGTTTGAACACGTAGCGCTCCGCCCTTGATTTTCTCCATAAGAAATAACGTAAAAAAAAACGTAGATCTATGTTCGGAGCGCTACACAAGCAGACATAGATCTACGTTTGGACAGTTTAACCCTTTCAGGGTTTCTGACATACTAGTATGTCTTATGCACCAGGGTTACTGGCGTATTAGAACGCCTAAATTATAGTGCCTTCAAATCTAGTGAGAGAAAGCTGGTAGGCCTACATATAAAAAAATGGATCTATGTGGTCAGTGTGCACAGTATCAAAAAAATCCTGCAGCACACAGTACATAATGAGAAATAAAAAACTCCGTGTTTTTTAGTGTAAAACAGCAACTTTGCACTGTATTTTTGTATGGTATTTATGGTTGTATTCTAGTTTTCCTGGTGTCATTTTATAGAATGGAAGATATATTACAGAAATTGAGATGATGTGATTGGTTTCATAATGAAAAGTACCTTGAAACTGAGCTCTAAGTAGCAAAAATGTTCGATTTTTACCAGATTTCAAAAGTAAACAAATCATGCAAAGTTTCCAACGCACATCAACTGGTTAGTCTGATATTCTTTCACAAGTGCACTGATGTTATTTATACCATTTCTACACTAATGCAGTAGTCTGCATAACAGTATATCTTCTATTTTTTGTGGGAATAAAAATTCAAAGTGGAAAGCAAAAGAAATGTAAGAGGGTCCTGGGGAGGTGACTAATGAACAGAGAAAATGTTATTTTAGTGCCAGGAATGTCTGTCTTGCTTATTCTGGACCCTAATTGGAAATTGGCATCTTCTGAAATTTGTGTGAAATTGGCAAAATTGCCAATTTCTGACCACTTTATTGGATACTTGAAATTGGTAAATGGGTGGTTTCTTGTACTCATTCGATAGAAAAAATGGAATTCTAGTGAAACAAATTATTTTTTGTCAACTAGTACATTGAAATTGGCTGAAAATAGGGCTCAGAGTGGGCAAAATAGCCAATGCGTAAACATCGTCGAGACCGCTAACTTCGCGAGAGCATAATTCTGTAAGTTTTCCATCAAATTTAATACTTTTGGTGTCATTATGATCGGGAAAAGATTCTTTATCATTTCATAAGAAAAAATAATTTTTTTTTCCGAAAAATTTTCGACCCTGAGAATGAGTTTTGGAGAGGGCCTCTTGACCCTGAAAGGGTTAAGGGTTAACCGCTAGCAATTTGGAATAAAATGTGGGTGCAGAATGTGACAGATATAAATGCAAGGATATTGCCCATCTCTTCTTTCTGTCTCATAAACACACAAGATGAAATAAATCTTGATTCAAGTGCTTACATAAAGTATGCACTATAATAGTAGTACTAGTAGTAATAATAATAATAATAATAATAATAATAATAATAATAATAATAATAATTATAGGTAGTAGGTTGGTAGACAGCAACCACCCAGGGGGGTACTACTGTCCTGCCAAGTGAGTGTGAAACGAAAGCCTGTAATTGTTTTACATGATGGTAGGATTGCTGGTGTCTTTTCTCTGTCTCGTAAATATGCAAGATTTCAGGTACGTCTTGCTACTTCTACTTACACTTAGGTCACACTACACATACATGTTTCCTTTCTTTCAACACACCGGCCGTATCCCACCGAGGTGGGGTGGCCCAAAAGGAAAAACGAAAGTACACATACATGTACAAGCATATATATATATATATATATATACACACCCCTCTGGGTTTTCTGCTATTTTCTTTCTAGTTCTTGTTCTTGTTTATTTCCTCTTATCTCCATGGGGAAGTGGAACAGAATTCTTCCTCCGTAAGTCATGCGTGTTGTAAGAGGTGACTAAAATGCCGGGAGCAAGGGGCTAGTAACCCCTTCTCCTGTATAAATTACTAAATTTATAAAGAGAAACTTTTGTTTTTCTTTTTAGGCCACCCTGCCTTGGTGGGATTTGAGTCGGACTTGCACCTTAGCTTATTGCTTGGGTAGCATTTGTTCTGTTAGTGGGTTGGATTTGTGAAGGACCAGCCTAGTATGGGCCAACAGGCCTACTGCAGTATTCCTCCTTTCTTATGTTCTTATTGAAGACTTGTTTGTGTGAGGGAGGGATGGTAAGTTTGTTGGAGAATATGACACTAATATCAACTCTACGGCTTACTTATCTATCACAATTCAACTAATATGACATAATAAACAATATTAATAACATAGAAACATGGAATATACTCTAGAATGAATAAAATAAGTCATTACATATGTCACAAAAGGTGTTGTGTTGTTGTTGGGTATATAAGGGCCACTGAGAGTAAGCCGTCCATAATGGTGGTGAAGCAGCAGCTGAGGCGGCGGTGTTTTCTGTAGCCCTATATAACTCCAACAACATTAGAGGAGTTGGTAGAATTGCTGAATCACTAAAGAAGGAAACCTCTACCACCATCACTGTGACCTTCTACCACAATTACAACTGTTACCACCATCACTACTACCTTCTATCACCATCAACCACTATCACAACTGCTTCCACTCTACCACCACCTTTGTATTTTTCTACAAACTTTTTCATAAATTATATGTGTTTTTCACATTCTTTACCAAAGGCCTGGCACTAGAAGATTTCTTTGGAGCCAAGGTAACTTATTTAGCACTTGCAAGCTCTAAAATCAATGGAATATTATGAAATATTTCGTAGGAGCAAGTGAGGGGACCATCACTCACTGGTAAACAATGGCACACTGGCTGGGAAGACAGGCCCAGGCGGCTCAGAGTGTGAGTACACATCCCAGATGCATGACGATTAGCGAGTTAATGGACCATTTGCAAGCCAGTGTTGAAACGAAATAATAGGACTATTTCCGAAATGGACGATTTTCAGGCCGGACGATTATTTAGGGACCACTGTATATGGAGAGTAAAAAAAAGGTGAAGAGAGTGGTAAGAGAGTGCAAAAGGAGAGCAGATGATAGAGCAGGAGAAGCACTGTCAAGGAATTTTAATGAAAATAAGAAAAAATTTGGAGTGAGTTAAGTTAAGAAAGCCTAGAGAATGAATGGATTTGTCAGTTAAAAACAGAGTAGAGGAGTTAGTAGATGGGGAGATGGAGGTTTTGGGTAGATGGCGAGAATATTTTGAGGAACTTTTAAATGTCGACGAAGAAAGGGAAGCGGTAATTTCATGCACTGGCCAGGGTGTTAAATTGTGTAACAAAAGTTTGTGGGTATGGATGGGAAGAGGAGTGATTAATGGAATGATATATGGAAGGTAGAGTATATGAAGAGAAGAGGAACAGTAAAATGAGTGATAGGGGAGTACAAAAGGAAGAGCTAATGAGAAAAGTGGGTGAGTATCAGCAGTTTAAGCCGAGAATTAGAAATAGTTTTGAAGAGATTAGTAAGTTGTAAATAGTAGGTTGGTAGACAGCAACCACCCAGGAATGTGTTACCATCCTACCTAGTGAGTGTGAAACAGAGACCTGTAACTGTTTTACGTGATGGTGGGATTGCTGGTGTTTTTTTTTCTGTCTCATAAACATGCAAGATTTCATTAACACCCTGGATAACAGGTATATCTTGCTACTTCTACTTATACTTAGGTCACGCTACAGAGGCATGCACATGAATATATATACATACACACATCTAGGTTTTTCTTCTTTTTCTTAATAGTACTTATTCTTCTTTATTTCCTCTATCCTCCATGGTGAAGTGGAAAAGAATCTTTCCTGCGAAACCCATGCATGTTGTGTGAGGCGACTAAAATGCCAGGAGCAATGGGCCAGTAACCCCTTCTCCTGTAGAAAATATTAAAAAAGAGAAGAAGAAAAGCTTTATAAAACTGGGATGCTTGAATGTGTGTGGATGTAGTGTGGATTATAAAAAAGAGATGATTGCTACTGTTATGAATGAAAAGAAGTTGGATGTCCTAGCTCAAAGTGAAACAAAGCTGAAGAGGGTAGGTGAGTTTCATTGAGGAGAAATAAATGGGATAAAGTCAGAAGTATCTGAGAGAGTTAAAGCTAAGAAAGGGGTAGCAATAATGTTGAAGGATCACTTACGGAAGGAGTAGAGGGAATATAAATGTATAAATTCAAGGATTATGTGGATTAAAATAAGGGTCAGATCCAATAAGTGGGTCATAATAAGTGTGTATGCACCTGGAGAAGAGAGGAGTGTAGAGGAGAGAGATTTTGGGAGATGTTAAGTAAGTGTGCAGGAACTTTTGAACAAAGTGAGAGAGTAATTGTGGTAGGGGACCTAAATGCTAAAGTAGGAGAAATATTTAGAGAGGGTGTGGTAGGTAAGTTTGGGGTGCCAGGTGTAAATGATAATGGGGACCCTTTAATTGAACTTTGTATAGAAAGGGGTTTGGTTATAAGTAATACATATTTTAAGAAAGATAGGATAAATAAGTATACTAGATATGATGTAGAGCATAATGACACTAGTTTGTTGGACTACGTATTGGTAGATAAAAGACTGTTAAGTAGACTTCAGGATGTATATGTATATAGAGAGGCCACAGATATATCAGATCACTTTTTAGTTGTTGCCACAGTGAGAGTAAAAGTTAGATGGGATATAAGAAAAATAGAAGCAGCAAGTAAGAGAGAGGTGAAGGTTTATAAACTAAAGGAGGAGGCAATTAGGGTA